GAAATTATAATTGTCCATTCCTAATATCAACCAAATAAGAGAAGGCATTAAAAAAGTCCTCTGACACTCAATTTATAGACCACTATCTGAATATTAAAATATAGTTTAAATTATTATTCCTTGTTTAACAGCCTAAAAATAAATTTAGAAAATGCTTTTAGTCACATGACTTTGTATATGCCCGTATTTGTAGAGAATAAATAGATGTCAAAAGTCTTGCCCAAAGAGGAATTGTTTTTATTTAATTAATTAATTTTTTATCCTGACCCAAGGACACATTTTTTTTTTTAAATTTATCTTCAGATAGAGTGGGAGGGAGAGAAGGAGGAAGTGAGAGAGAGAAACATCGATGTGAGTGAGACAAATAGAATGGTTGGTACCCACGACCCCAACCAGGGCCGGGGACAAACTGCAACCCAGGTACGTGCCCTTAGCAGGAGCCGAACCCAGGACTCTCTGGTCCATGCGCTGAAGCTCTAACCGCTGAGCCAAACAGACCAGGTCAGAGAAATTTTTTTTTAAAATGCTGATCCTCAAAGTACATTCCTGATATATGTAGATAATCTCAATAGAAAAAAAAAAAAAAATGAATAGTTCATTTGAGCCTTAAGATTGTTTTCTTTCCTCACTAACACATCATTCAACCATACTCCTAATTATAACATATGCCTTAATATATCAGCTTATCAAGAACTTCTCAATTTAGGCAATCAACGTTTCCATGAAAAAATATCCAAGCTGACAACTGGTCAATATACTAACATTCCATTCCATTTTCTAGGACTGATCATGGGTAATCCACAGAAGACTCTTTAAGGGAAGCCCATGTGCCAAAATTTACAGAAACTCTTATTTTAGTCAAAATATAGTTAGGTCTATTTTATTCTGAAATGCCCCTAGAAAATAAAGTATGCTCAATTTTCTCTCTTTTGTGTGACTGTGGGCAAATCTCCAAACCTCTCTGAATCTTAATCCATTCTCTTGTTCATCAGAGTGGGTGGGATACAAGTATCTGTTTTTTCCCTCCCATAAAGTTTCACTGGGAATCAAAATAAACAGTGGATATGTAAATGCTTTGAAAACTGTATAACACTATACAAATACTATTATTGATGTTAATGTAAAATGGATATGTATACCAGAGCAAGCAATAGTCCTAAGGTAAAATGCAGTGATGAAAAAAAAATTGAAGGACAAGCAAAACATAGGCTTTAAAGAGAGTAACTTAAGATAGTAAGTTAACACATGCTTAATAAATATGTATTAAATAAAATAACTAATAAATATTTTATATATGAATCAGCATAAAATATATCTGAATGAAAAAATCACAATATCCAGTAATAGTAATAGAGCATAATAGTTCAAGTTAGGTATTGAAAATTGGCTTAATATTTTTACTCTAAATTATAAAGAAAATATTCATCTTTGTGCTCCATTGTACATTTAATGCATAGATGCCAGACCATCTATAACTATTTGTGGAAAGAATATTGAATGAGCCAATGAGCAAATTCTCATATTCAAAGCAAATCCTAATGTAGAAAAATGAATTTTAAGTCTATTAATTTGCTTGTAGCCACCTTAACAGTAAACTACTCCAAAAATACCATTTAAAATGTATCAGAAAACTTTGGTGGCAAGTAGTAAAACTCAAAGACGTGGCATACATGATGCTCAGTGGTGGGTACGGTCTTTCAAAACTGATCATTCTCCTCTTAAATTATCAAAACATATGCTTTGCAATATTTTTGAGTGATATATTTGCATTAACTTTTCCTAGAACCAACATATGCCAATGGCTGAAATTCAGTGCATTTATGCAATCTCAGGTACCTCTTGGAGAATGATTTTCAAGTATAGCCTCTATTTCAACACAAATAAAACTATACACAATGCTTCATACTATTTTCCAATCTAATTTTTTTCAACAAGGTAAAGAGAGATGCATTCATTAAAACAAGAAAACAAAATTGCATTTCCATAAAAATAGCATTTAATATTGTGACAATATTTCATAGATGCTGACAAAAATAATTAATACTAACTACAATTCCTAACATTTGTACTTACAAATTATTGTGCCATACCTCAACATCTCATTTAAGTCACATCGACATAAGGTATGTGGTCCAGGTATTAGATATTATGCTCAGTTTTTTCATCTATAAATAGGAGGTCATGTTTGCACTGAACATGAGGTCATGTTCTGAGCCTGAATTATTCATCTGTAAATCAAGGTTAATTAGGCACAAAACTGGAGATAGATGCATATAAACTCATACTTTAGATACCTTAATTCTAACTCTTTGGCTTTATTTATTTATTTATCTATTTATTTATTTATTTTTATCTTTATTGTTGAAACTATTACAGTTGCTCCCCCCTTTATCCCCATCAACCCTCTCCTTCCCACTCCCACTCTTTCCCACACTATTGTCTGTGTCCACTGGTTATGCATACTTGAATATAAATTCTTTGGTTTATTTCTCCCCCCTCATCCCCATTTCCTCTGAGGTTTGTCAATCCGTTTTCTACTTCCATGTCTCTGAATCAATTTTGACCATCAGCTTATTTTTTTTCATTATAGTCCATAAATAAGTGAGATCATGTGGTACTTGTCTTTCTCTGACTGGCTCATTTTGCTTAGCATAATTCTCTCCAGGTCCCTCCATGTTGTCTTAAAGGGTAAGCAATCTTTCTTTCTTATAGCTGCATAGTATTCCATTGTGTAAATGTACCACAGCTTTTTTTTTATCCACTCATCTACTGATGGACACTTGGGCTGTTTTCAAATCTGAGCTATTGTAAATAGTGCTGCTATGAACAAAGAGGTGTGTATATTCTTTCTGACTGGTGTTTCAGGCCTCTTAGGACATATTCCTAGAAGTGGGATCAGGGGTCAAATGGAAGTTCCATTTTCTAGCTCTTTGGCTTTAGTTTCCATCATTCTTGATCACTCAATTTCCATTTATTAGTTGTCTAAAAATAGAACATACTTCCATGGTGATAGTACAGACATTGTTCAGCATATGGTCCCGTGGGCAAAAACATCTGCATAGAACTGACATTTCCATAATTGTCATAAGGTTTGCAGTGATTTTCTATTTTTTGCTGAACACAGTCCACTTTTCTTCTTTGTCTTTCTACCTTTATGTGTCTGTCTCTCTTCCTCTCCTTTCCCCTCACTCCCTGCCTCTCTCTTTTATTTCAGTTTTTCTTGTATCAGTGCCATGTGTATTGAGCCAAAGCATCCATAACTGTGGACCATCCTGAATATTGTGCTCAGGCAGGCACAGTGACTTGGTGCAGGACCCATGACCCCTGAAAGGTAGGAAAGCTCCGCACATCTTCCAAATCTGTGATTGTATGGAGCTCAGGTAAGGTCAGCAAAAGGAAACGAGGAAGTTGCTAGTTCCTGTCTCCCAGCCAGCAGGCAACAACTCTGGAATTTGTCTGTGAATACCACCACTTCCTTCGACTAGTCAATGATTCCCCGATTAATTTTTCAGCTTCAAGTGCTGTGTGTTTCGTGATGCCCTGTCATGTCAGTAAGAAAAGTACAATCTTGTGACACACCAGGAGTCTGACAAGTTTGGTCCCTTTGCATTCTTTAATTGCCCAAACCCCTTGATCTGAGGAAGTGTCTCCACTAAACCCTCCCCAAACATGTCCACAACCTAACCAACTCACTCTATTACTGAAAACTAAGTTGTTGAACTGCCCTTCACCTTCTTGTAACTATCCCTGATTGGCAATGGTTAGTGTCACAAATGCAATTATGATTTCTTTCTCCTGCATTATATGAAAAGAGCCCTGATATGTATATTTCATAAACACAAATTTTCTCATCAATGATGCAACGGAAACTGGACAGAAGACTTCTCAGCTGGTTTTCTAAATTACAAAAACGATCTTTGCTCTGTTTGCCATTCTAAGCAGAGGAACTCAGCTGGTGTCAAGGGTTGGACACCACTATTTTTAGAACTATTATTTATTGAAGCTAAAAGGCTACATCACGGGATGGCATTCGTAATACCGTACACATTTCCCTTCAGTCCCCTCAATCTCCTCAATCTGCGCATTTCTTCCCTCTTCTACCTTTTAAATCACAACACAGTTAAATTTAAACACTATCTTTTCAACATTTCCTTTATGGAAATGACCACTCTTAAGAACGTTCACTTTTATATGGTGCCAAGCAGACTTACGCAGAAGAATTTATGTCCAATGTAAAATTTTATTGCAAAAATCAGTGAGTGGGAGAGGGTCATTCTAGAGGAGGATCATACGGGCAGATTTCTACACTCACAGGTAACAGCAGTTTTGAATCGCACCCAAACATAACTAAGCAACGGCTGTGTAAATTACAAAGGGCTCTCCGTGTAAGGTTTCCTAAGAGTCACACTTAAAAATTAACTCAGGATTGTATTTGAGGCTTAACTATCTAAGGCCATCAGCACGTACAAAGAGATAAATTCTGAATATTCATGATATCATGCTTTCTACAACTGGTCGATGGAGGTTATAGATTTTAGAAGCCACAAATGCTGGCTTCAGTTGGATGCCTTCATCTCCCATAGAGTCTTCCAAAAGATCGCTCCTAATCTTTTATTTTATCTGTATTCATACTTGTGAGGTTTCCTTAATGTGTCCAAACATTTTCTCAAGTTGGCCTATGTATTTCAAGTTCAGGGTAACACAGTGTTTACTCTAAGTGACTTCTGAAGTGATGTGACAAAATTTTAAACAGAATTCTACAACCCCCCTCCAAGCCTTCGCCTTTGCCTCCTGTATTCTCCACCTCCATCTCCATCCGCATTTCTCTGGCGCGCAGACGGCGGGCTGCACACGGTGCTGTCTGTCACCGCCGTTCACCCGCGGGTCTGCATGGCATCTGCTGGGCTTGCACAGAGAGCGACCTGTGTAGTGGCTGCAGCTAGCAAGCAGCCCTGGATGCTCTGTACCCAGACGGCCAAACTCAAAACTTTTTTTTTTTTTAGGAGAGAGCGCGAACACAGTTCCCCACGACCACAAACGATGCAGTCGACTTGCCCACGTTTGGGGAAACTGCAGGCGTCCGCACATGCACATCCCGAGTGCAGTGGGTAAGCCCCGCCCCGCCGAAACCCCCTTCTGGATCACCGTACGTCCCGGCCAAGTAAGTCATCGCTTCATACAAATCGTGTCCCTCTTCACTCCGTATCCAGTCGATCGCTCAAGCCTGCCCAGTCTAACTCAAACACAGCTTCCCATTTCTCTCTCCCACATCTCACTGCTACTCCAGGCCCTTCTCGCCCACCCTGCACCTGCTTCCAACCAGCTCTCAACCTTCCAACACTCTGACCTCTTCTGGTCTCTCCTATTGCTGCTAGTTTTCTCCTGCCACAAAGACTGGGTCCATCTTCTGGTTAAACATTTCTTCAGTGGCCTCTTTTAACAAACAAGTACATAAAAATCCAAATTATGTTCTCAGGAGACAGTGTTGTCTTAGTCTGGGTTCGTCTAGAAGCCCACTCTGAGTCAATGATTTAGGCACAAGCAAATTTTTGGTGAAGTGACTCCGGGAAAGAAGAGTCGGGATGAGAAAATGCAACAGGGATGAGAAAACATTGACCAGGGGTGTTTTACCAATGGAGTTGCTTCTGTTGAATCCTGCTGGAACTTTCTGCAGAGACCGAGTACCTCAGAGTCATTTAGCACCTTCCCTGAGGGAACTGGGCTTTAATCTACAATATTTGGTAACTGGTTGTGAACGATTCCTTAAGAGGTGCTAATTCTATGTATTTCTGGCTGCTCCAACTCGGCAGAGCAGATTCCAGGGGGCAAAACCTCCCAGCAAGAAATTACAGGCCCAGGCAGTTTGAAAGCGGGCCAGCAGCCACACCGGTCAAGTGCAAAGAAGATACGGAGCGGTGAGCGGAAGGACCTATCCAGTAGCACCTGTAATTCTTTAACATTTCACACTAGGCCACCTTTTCAGACTAATCACTTTTCATGGTCTGACCAGCCACCCAGCTCCGGACTCCTCTTCTCTCAGACATGATAGTTCTTTTATGATTGCATGTTCACACCCCCATTCCCGGGTCTCACTCTTTGCTTCCCAAACTCTTTGATATTAAGAAGCTGCTAAAATGTTGCTTTTTCACTAAGACCTTTCCTCTCAAGTGTTTAAGTCTTTTTCAAGATTGCAGATTATCAAATTATGGTGTATCCTGCATGATGCCAAAAACCGAGGCAAAATGTAGCTCTTTTGATCAAGCATCCAAATAGATCCAAGCAGCCCCATTTCTGAGGCATGTGCTTTTGTTCTACTTGAATGATTCATACATCATACAATCATTCTATGGCTGTGGATGTGAGGACTAAAGGAATAACATATAAAAGACATTAGAAGAGTACCTGGTACATAGTAATCATATGTGTGTAGTATTTTGTGTTTAGTACACTTAAAAATCACCCAGAAAGCATGCTAAAAATGCAGATGCCCAAACTATACCCAGAGATTCTGACTCAGGAATTGGGCTCTCAGAATCCAGATGCGTGAGTCACACCACATGATCCTCTTGGGGGCAGTCTATGGCAAGGTGGCATGACCAGATCTCTGGGTAAGATCGGGCCATCGCAACATATACCTTTTTTCTTAATGAAATTATTAACAATGACTCCTTTTACTTTTAAAAGTCCCTCAGTTTGAACAAAAATGACATGGTTACCTTACTTAGGGGCCTATTGTGATATCACTGCTCTTTAGAAAAGATAATGGTCGGATGTATGTATCGCAAAATTTTCACATAAGTTATTGTCTAATACTTTATATCTTTCTATTCCATCACATAGCAGAGAGGCGCCAAGGCGAGAACAGAAGTGATGATGAAGATTGTTATTTCAATTTCCCCACGCACTTGCCTGTCTCCTGCTGCACTAATCCCTGGTGGACGCAGACTAGGAGAGTTCAAGGGAAAGGAACTCTGCTGCCTCGCTTGAGCCTGAACATGAACAACACTGCTAAGTATATTAACATTGCTAAATGTTGTTGGAGAAAATAGAGTGCAAATCACGATTCGGGCCAATAATGAGAGTTCGGAATTTTCAAACATGCCATTTCATTTGTAGGGTAGATGCATGCCTTCTCAGATAAATCCAGGAAGATAATGAGTCCTGGCTGGTTTTTCAGTGAGCTATAGTTATTTACAGTAATGTGGTAATTGCAAGTGACATTGTAGGTCTGTGTGTTTATTCTGAACTGCCATGTTGTGGTTATAGTGCAAAACTGAGAACTACCGAAAAACATCAAATATATATGTCGAGTTAATTTTGCATTCTTTTTGCCTCTGGCTGATTAGCACTAATTAAATTTCCCACTAATAAACTCAAGATGTTATAAAGCTATATGGAAATGCCATATATGGATTCTGCTGATTATGATTTTAAAAATCCAAGCTCTTTGCACAGTCTGTTAATGTACAAAAATTACTTTATTCTACAACTACTGAAAGTTTGAAAAGGGGAGATAACATTGCAAGGCAGTGATTTTTTTCTCACTTCAGCACTGAGATTGTTTAGTTTGATATATTATTGTAAAAACTGGAAATAAAAATATGTATATTCAGTAGAGGCATAACTTTAAAGGAACCGTTTAGCAAGCTATTTTACTAGGAATAGACAATAGACCAACATATGTTTGCAATCAGCTACAAAAAATGGATAGTTTCATAGTTTTATATTCAAACAAATATTAACTGATAGAGACCGGTTTACTTAAACAGCACCTTGACCACTTTTTATAAGTATGTGTTTAAAACATCAGCTACCAGATGGAATATTTTAGATGCAGACATAATTTTCAGAAAATAGTCTGTAGAGAAAATCACATTTTTCTTTACTCAAAATAAATAAGGACAGTAGAGAAAGTACTTGTTTGGTAGCATATGATTTTTTGGGGGGAAGGAGATATTACCGTTCTAGAGATTCCTATAGGAGCTGATTCTTGTTAAGTTCGAAGATAAGGAAGTAGATGGGCAATAAAATGGTTCCTGGGATAAGAAATGTCAGAAAGAAATATGTATATGGGACTGAAAATATATTAAAAGAGAAGGGAATTTGGTTTACTTTATATTTTTTCTCTGAAAAGGAAAGGAGTAACAAAGAAGAGATGGAGGAGGGACTACTGACAAGACAGACAAACCCTCAGAGCAGAGGGAAATACTGAACTTCCAGGGAGAACCGAGAGGAGAACAGAAACGATGGGGGAGGCGGAGCAACACCGACTGTTCAATCACTGCCCTGTCTCTATCCTTCAAAACGAGATAAATGGTGGGGGAAATGGTGTTCACTACAGATATAACAATGTTCCACGTCAGTCTCTTTTATTTTTTATATTTTGGGATCATGTTTTCTAATAATCAAGTTTTTAAAAGATGCTGAGTCTAAAAACGAATTAATAAAAATATTTTATTTTTAACTCAAAGAAAGTGTTTTATTTATATGAATTTTCTTTTCTTTTTAAATGAATATGAGGGGACTGGTTTCTCCTTCAAAATCTTTTACAGTATTTATTATTTGTATATTTCTATAGGTCATCAAAGATAAATAAATTAGTGATAGCAAAATCACTTGTCTAATGAAAGTGGTAGAGGGGCCTTGGGATCTCAGAGAAGCTGGATATGTAGCTATTCATTTGTATTATTAAATAATATTTCATTAAATTTCATAATGTAGCTCAAGGCAACCAAAACAATGTCATGTCGGATTATTAAAATCAATGACAAGAACAAATCTTTATTCATTCCTCAAAGAGCCTACATATTAAAATATTAAAAGCATAAACCTTGCCCAGCAGGTGTGGCTCAGTGGTTAAGTGTTGACCCATGCACAAGAGGTCACCAGTTCAATTCCTGGCCAGGGCACATGCCCAGATTGTGGGCTCAATCCCCAGTGGGGGGCATGCAGGAGGCAGCCAATTGATGTTCTCTCTCATCGATGTTTCTAGCTCTCTCTCCCTCTATTTCCTCTCTCTCTAAAAATCAATAAAGAAAAAAATTTTTTTTAATAAAATAAAATAAAAGCATAAACCTTCTCTAAGATTTATATTTAAACACACAAGAACATTATGTACCTTCACAATACGATTCTTAAAATTAATAATAAGTATTTAAAAAATAAATTGCATCATATTGATTTTGGTTGATGAAATAGTAAAAATCACATATACGAAGGAATGACATTTATAATGTGGGATGTATCAGCAGCAATAACAAAAAAGTAACACGAACGCGGTTAGTTAAAAATACAGGCTGTACAGTCACGGAGACTTTAATATGATCTCTGCGACTTATTAGCTACTCGATCTTAGGTAAATTATTTAACATCTCTGAGCTTGAGTTTACTCGTGTGTAAAAGGGGGATATTAATACCAAATGAGGCTGTGAAGATTCTATAATGAAATAATGTAAGAAAAGTACTGTCACAAAAAGTGGAAAAAGAAATCTCAATAAATCATAAGCAATAATGAATCGTTACATTCCCTCATTTTACCACAGAATAAAACAAAACCCTTTAAACAACTGTAGATTAATGAAATGCAAACATGCACACACACACACACACACACACACACACACACACACACACACACCCCAGTCTTATTTCTTGTCTTTCAAAAGCAGTAAGGGTTCTGAAGAAACAAGCTACTGCCCCAGTCTGAAGATGGCGTGCTTCCCACTGGGTGTACACATAACAAAGATAATTAATGACGTATTAGAAAAGCTGTTTGTGTCAAGCTACTAATCTCTCTTCTCACTGTCTCATGCCTCTCCAGAGATCTCTCTGTAGAAAATATCAGTTATGCATTTTCCCTACCTTTACCTACATTTGTGTTTCTCTGTTGTCTTCTTTATGATGGCTAAGGAGGAAGGCAATCAATTAACTGCTTTTGACTATTAGGCAATTTTTACATAAGATACAAAAAAAAAAAAAAGAAATAAATAACTAGTTAGTAAAATGGCTTCATTAGCTAACACTTTGATAGAAATTTTCTCTAGTTTCTTATCCTACATGTGATAAGAAAGGGGTGATGGTTATGATTCTTTAACTGACAAAGGAAAACCTGTTCTTTAGATATAATGGTTGGTGGGGAAATAAAACCCAAGTGGTATTATAATGTATAA